TTGTAGTCTAGCAAACTGCCTAGCTTATGGCAATTCTTTAAATACTAAGAAATTCCAGTTCTTGATATTTCATTTTTTGCACCACACCATCCTTGACTGCAGTTATCTTAAAAACGTCAGTCGTTTAATTTCTCATCGAAAAATGACTTGGGGTGGATGTGTAATGCCTTAACATTGGCAGTGAACTGCTTGCGATTGACAGGAGCGTTCCAAGGCAGTTAAAGTCTGTTAAGAGCAGTTAGAAAAGCCAGTTACAAAAGAGAGCGTTCGCTGTCAATCCCTGGCATCTCTAGGTAGGGCTGGGAAAGACCCCTGCGAAATCCTGGTGAGCCGCTGCCAATCAATGTCAACAACACGGAGCTAATGGCCCAATGGTCTGGCACCATAAAGGAGCTTCCTATGTTCCTATGACAGATTAGCCAGAAAAGGAATAAAGAGAAAAGAACTACACCGAAAGGGAGACTTTTTCGGTTGCTTATAGTCTCAATACATTTAGCATTAGTTTTTAATTCTCATTTACTTAGAGATTGTGTTAACCAGTTCAGAAGTAATAATCCAGGGATCTGCACCTTTTTGGGGGGTGTTATGTACTGAGTTGAATAGGATCCAAAATGTAGCAGTCTGATTGGTCCTAGAACAATAGGATCCTGAATGCAGCAGTCTGGTTGGTCCACAGGAGCCACCCAATCCAGCTCCAGGTGGAAGTGAATCCGCAACCTGATTGGCCTACAGGAGAATCCCGGAATTAGCCAATCACGTGGGGGCCATTATGTAAATAATGTATATAAAGCAGACATTCTGGGGGAACTTCCATTCCTCCTCACCACTATGAGCTGAATAAAGAGCATGAAATCCACTCTTGACTCCGAGTATATTTCAGGGGGCCAGCGGACACATATAGAATTTTGAGAGAGTGATGTGGTTTGTCCGTCACGAAATGACCGCTCTGGGGGCCACGGTGTAACACAAAATGGCAGCCACGTCCGGAAGAGCAGAAAAAGAGACAGAACCACGAAAAAGGTGTAGGCAGTCATCCCCCCCCAAAAAAAAATCAGTAGGAAAAAAGCCACTTAGCATCAGTCACCACATTACTCACTCACAGAGAGAAGCTCTCCTTATCTCTCCTGTGTTCAGAACAGAAAGGAGGTTGGGTGTCCATTCCTGGCATCCATTTAAATATGGGCATGTCTGAGGGGGCATGTTCAATGTAGGATAAGCCAAACTAGTCAGGAACTGAGCAGGAAGCACAAACAGTATTTGTTTTTTTTTTTTAAATAATATTTATTACTTTTGAAAATTACAGAAAAGGAAAAGAAAAGAAACAAAGGAGAAAGAACAAAGAAAGGGGGGGAAAGAACAATACAATACAATATATAACAATACAAAACACAACCTAATCACATTGAACTAAACTAAACAAAACCCTAACCCTAAACAAAACAAAACAATAACCATTTAAAAACATAAATCACACCCTTTCCATACTCTATTTTTCATTCCCTTATTTCCTCTACTTCCTCTCACCTCCCTTTTTGTATTCCACTTCTATTAATTGTTTCAGCAAACCCTTTCCATCTTTCTCTGTTTTCTGTCTTATTGTAAATATCTTAACATATTTTTTATCATTAAAAACTAAATACTCATATATCCTTAACTCCTTATAACATTTCTACTAAAGCCATAAAATTTCTTTCCACCATTTTTCTATCATTCATTAATTTTGCAATATTTCTATATATAAACTTTAAAATCTCTAATCTTCATCCACCATCTCCTCTCCCTGGTTTCGGATTCTGCCAGTCCTTTCCGTCAAATCCATATAGTCCATCAACCTGGAGATCTTATGTCCGAGGCTCTTAAGTCTTTTCCAGGTCCCTTCTGCAGGTCTTCTTCATATTCTTTAGTGCCAAAAAGCAAATCTCGAGAAAACTCCAACCTAGCAATACTTTTATTCCTTCCGGACAGGTCAGCCAAATTTCCATAGTTAAAGCTGAGGTCTATAAGATGTTTCATGGCATGTTTCAATATCCCTCCAAGTCCCAAGGCCCCCAAAACTCCATTCTCCTCCAAACCCAAGTCCATGTCCCAAAAGTCAGTTAATCCCTGCATAGAAGGATCTTTCCAACTTTCCTTCTTCCGTCCAGGCCGGGATCCAATCTTCAAAATCTGGCTTTTTCTAGATTAAATCGTAGAAGGCCTCAATTTGTAGTCCTCAATTTGCTTCTGTATGGCTGAAAATCCCACTTGTATTACTTTAGGCTCAGCCACCACAGCTTTCTCTTTCTCCTCCGCAATCTGTCCAACCAAAGTAATTTCTTGTGCCAGGTCCTGAATTGTTCCTGTATTGATGCTCACTTTTTGACTCCAATTAGTTACTTTTTGGTCCAAATTGTCAATTTTAAAAGAAGTGTCATCTATCTTCTTATGGAGCTGTTCCAGCGAATAGCTTATCTTACATAATCCCGTCACAATGGTTTCTCCTATCAACATGTTGAGTGGTCCAAGGTCAAACTCTAGTTCTCACACTTACTTATCATACAGCTGGTGCAGTCCTGTGACAGTTTCAAAAACTCCCTCTAGAGGGAAACAGTCTCCACTTGTATCAATCCTTTCAAGCACAATTCAGACCATAAAAATAGTTTCACTTTCCAGTTACTTTTCCTCTTTTTTAACGCAGAAGAGGACAATGGAAACAGTATCTTTCTCTTATATAACTAGTTGTCAAAAATGTTCTGTTCACAGTCAATGAACTCTCCCAAAATTTCCCTTTTTCTGGCAGCCCTTTTCCAGGTTTGGAGCAGTGATAATTTGATTTTTCACTCCCTCCTGCAGGCTCACTAAGTCCAACCCCCCCCCTCCTGCTTCCAGGGGTTTTTTTGTAACTTTAACCGATGAAAATTCAATCCTTTGCCAAAAGCTTCCACAGCTTCCAAAGACTTTAGCTTATAACATCTTTGCTTAAATCTATTTACAAAAAAGGGGAAGGCGGACTTCCTGTTTAAAACCTTCCCCGTTTCGGTGCCAAATTAAATTATTTGAAGATCCAATTTTGCGTTCTACTCACGGGTAGTTGTTTAAAGTCCAATTGTCCACAGGAAAAAGTCAGCGCTCTCCGGCAACAGCAATGCGGCTTCACTCCGCGAAAAAAGCAGTCAATTCGAAGCACCGCGCCATTCACCCCACGTCGCTCCGGATCCCCGAAACCGGGTTTCCCCGAGAGTAGGGGAGGCGCAAAGGTGCCAGCCGAATCCCAAGTTCACAAGCTTCTCCCGCTTGTGATTTCAGTGGGTCTCCGCCTTTGCCGTGGCGGTCAGACCCTGGTTTTCGCGGAGCTAGTTCCTCCCGATCGGAGGAGCTCCGCCATTGCCGGAGGCGCCAACCCGGAAGTCTCCACACAAACAGTCTTTAGTGCATTGTGGATTTTTGAGGAGACATATACTGAGATATTTTGTGAGCACCATAGGCGGTTCTGGCGGGTGCCACATTGGTAACCTTTCTGCCATGATTGGTTAGAGTGCGTCCCACACATTTCCTCTTTCCTTCTCTTGTGTGCTTATAATGCAACAGTTCTGGGCTTTCTTAAACCAAACTTTCCATTTACATCCAGACGGTGAAACTATTATGAAGCCAGGAGGATTCGTATCCCGGTTTATAGTTCAAGATTTAAAGCTTAAGTTTCCTGGTTGGGATTAATGGGACAGTGTGGTTTAAGAAGCCCTGGAAATATTAAATTATGGTGCAAGAGAGAGGGGAGGAAGGAGCAGAGGAGTTGGGGTGTAGTCCCAAACACTCATTCTCAGTATAATAAAAACAGGCTTTATTAGACCAAGAACATTATGTCTGGACTGGGCCAACATCTGTTTAGTGGCCAGTTCTTCAATAATTGCGTACAGATTCCTCGACATCAATTTTCTCTGCCTTTCTGTATATCTGAAGTAAAATATGCATCTGAACGTGTGTGTGTTTCACATGCCCTGCTTTGGGATTGTTATTATTTTTAGAAAGCGGAATATGCTTTTTTGAAATAAAATAGAACCCCAGATTCATTAGCCTTTCTCATGAGGCAGGTGCTCCAATCCTTAATAATTTTGGCTGCTCTTTTTCGAACCCTTTCCTGCTCGTAATTGCCTCTTGCCTTTGCAGGAAGATTAACTGACAGCCTGTTTGGGTTTTTACATTTCAAAGAGTTATTCCTTTGTTATTGAAAGAGGATCACATTGGATTACATAGCTTCATAGCAATTGTGACCCCCCCCTTCCCAGTCTGTGGGGCCCTCCCCATAACTCTGCAGCTCTAATAGCGGGAAGAACATAAAAATTGGTGTCTGAAAGGCCTAAATCTTCTAAGCTTAGGAGATCAGGTACTTAATTTAGACAATGCAGATCAAACTTTGAGCATTAAGTTAGCCAAGAACTTGTTCTGGCCTAGCAGTAGCTCCATCAGACAGTTCCCAATTTGCTACAGGTTCAGCTAATGTGCATTTCTTAAAGGGTGTTTTTGTGATTGTTTCTTTCAGAGCGATTTGTGGTCTTTGGGGATAACAGCCATCGAGATGGCAGAAGGAGCTCCTCGTGAGTACAACCCAATTTCACACTTTATCATAACTTGGATTGCTGCTTGTTAAGGTTCATTATGCGCTATCAGCATGTCCAGTCCTGCGGTGATAAATTGTATATAGGCGATCACCAAGTAGAGCGTTGAAATGAGATAGATATGGAATTCATAGGATAGGATTCATAGGACCCTTCAGGGTCCCTCCCAGCTCTATGATTCTAAGTATTTTTCAAAGTATTCGCTTTATTTATTTAATATGGCTTTAAATTTGTTTAAAATGCTTTTTTGTTTTTAGATGTTTCTAACCTATTTTAAATGTTTTATTTTATTTAATCACAGAACTGTTTGCCATCCTGAGCTCCTTTGGGAGAAAGGCAGGCGCGCGCGCGCGCGCACACACACACACACACATATATATATATATATATATATATATATATATATATATATATATATATATATACACACACTATATATATACTGTATATACTGTGTGTGTGTGTGTATATATATATATATATATATACTCTGTATATACTGTGTGTATGTATATATATATATATATACACACACACACACACACACACACACTGTATTTTTTGCTGTATAAGACTCACTTTTTCCCTCCTAAAAAGTATGGGGAAATGTGTGTGCGTCTTATGGAGCGAATGCAGGCTGCGCAGCTATCCCAGAAGCCAGAACAGCAAGAGGGATTGCTGCTTTCACTGCGCAGCGATCCCTCTTGCTGTTCTGGCTTCTGAGATTCAGAATATTTTTTTTCTTGTTTTCCTCCTCCAAAAACTTGTGGTCTGGTGCGTCTTATAGAGCGAAAAATACGGTATAATATCACAAGAAATAAAAGCCCGAGATGCCTTCACACTTAAGCTTGGTTCCCAGAAATGGAATGCCTGGTGGGGAAAGAGAAAACAGAGGGGTGGGGTTGTCCGGTTGCAAGTTCTCAGCAAAGTACAACGGGTTCTGTGGGAGAAAATAAAATTCATTCTGGAACATGGCTGAAAGAGAAACTGTGCTGTAAGGTTAAGCCTGCAGCTCTTAGCAGGAGTCGCGCATAGCACTGTGTTCTCACTGGGAGAGCAGAGCAGGCGTTAAAGCCCATTGACAAACTCAACAGGTTCAGCTTCCTGTGCCTCATGTGGTTGTAGAGAGAACACCAAAAGGATTTCAGTAAAGCGCTGAATGTCTTTGGTAGAATGTTCTATGTACTGTATTATGTTTTGTACTGTACCTGATCCCTTCTATTTTGGGGGTTTTTTCCCAGCCCTTTGTGACATGCATCCCATGAGAGCTTTATTCCTCATTCCTCGGAATCCAGCCCCCAGGTTGAAATCAAAGAAATGGTGAGTGTGCCCGCCTACCGCTCTCCACATATGAGCTTGATTTGCATGCTGGAAGGAGCCATTGTATTTTATTTATGTTCCGGGCACTGCAAAAACAAGACAAAGCCCACCTCTGCAAGAAATGAGGTGTGATTTTGTCCTTATTAAAAACGGATTGTGTGTAAATTGTGTGTGCAGAAATTGGACAACTTTGGTGGGGATGACAGGTTTTACAAATTGTAATCATTTGCTCATCAAAGGTATGGGCCGAATTCTGTGTGTTAGGGGTGGGAAATCTATAGCCCATCAGCACCAGCCAACAGGTCAGGGATGATGGGATTTGTAGTCTACAAATGACTACAAATCCCATCATCCTTGCCCATTGGCCTGTTGGCTGGTGCTGATGGGTGTTGGAGGGCAGCAGCATCTGGAAAGGTCAAAGGTTCCCTGTCCCTGAGCTAGGCCAGTACTTTTCAGAAGAACAAAGACTGGGGAAGATGAAATCCTAAGGGTACAGAACAACAAAGACTGTATTAATCCAACAAGTTTCACATCAGATTCCATCTTCAAGGACACTACAGATAACAGCAATGAAGATTTAGATAGTGTAATGCTATTGAAACAATTTATACAATATAATAAAGGCAAAACTAATAGCATTAGAACATCAGCAGAAAGGGAAAAGGTCATCACATTATCTTCAAAAACATTTGGAATCCTTGTGCATATATTAGAATATACAAATACTCCTCAGAAAGAACTCAACAAAAAACTTTAGTAAGACCAAAGAGACCTCCTTTTCCTCCCCCCCCCCTTGATCCCAGTCTGGATGAGCATCCCACCCCACTCCAACTGCTATTTTAGTAGACAAAAGCAAAGTACTCATGGCCAATCATATGCTCAGTGTCATGTCTATTTTGGCTCTGAGAGAGCTCTGGGATGGAAGAACAATGGGAACCGTGTGATTAAGTGTTGGGTGGTGAGCCTCCCCTTCTACATCAATGAAAGCAGAGCATGCTGAGGATCCTGCCATCTGTCAGCCTTCTGGTTTTTAGCAAGGCTTACATTCACAGAGGAAAGCAGTGTTTAAACTCTGTTTGTTCAGAGTCCGAGAGATCAGCAGTTCCCTTCTGGACTCTGTGGTTCCAGAGTCCAAGGAGAAGTGGTCTTAAGTGGGTTTAGACCAGCCTGCCTATAGCATGTGAGGGTGCCTGACTCTAAAGCACTGTAGATGGAGATCTCTTGTTAAATATGGAGAAAAATGATATGTTGGCCGCAAAACCCCTTGGGGGCTGAAGATGAAGAAGTTAAGCCAGTGAAATCCACTGATAAGTAGTGGAGGATTTGGAGTCTCACCTGCTGCTGCAAACGGGGGGTGGGGGGTGGGAGCAGAGGGAACGCCAAGGAGAAAAACGCTCCACTCAGTTCTTGTCTTTGCATCTCTGCACCTGATTTCAAATGGCTTTAATGTGCTTAAAAGCAGCGGATTGTTTTATAACTCGCAGTCAGCCTATAATCAAGGCGAAACAGTGATTTCGTTTCATTAAGTGCTAGCATTTCCTCAATGTGCTGTGGAACAATTTTTATTCCTTTATTCTCGCCGTAGTTGTTTTCTTGTGAATCAGTTCTTAGTAAGCCTCATCAAGTGGGTTGCATGCTATTAGGGGTGGCTTTCGTTCAAGGATCTCGTAACGCTTTGCAAGTACAGTGGTGCCTCGCAAGACGAAATCAATCCGTTCCGCGAGTCTCTTCGTCTAGCGTTTTTTTCGTCTTGCGAAGCAACCCTATTAGCGGATTAGCGCTATTAGCGGTTTAGCGGCTATTAAAGGCTTAGCGGCTTAGCGGCTAAAAGGCTATTAGCGGCTTAGCGGCTTAGAAAAAGGGGGGGGAAGCGAAAAAAATCTCAAGACTCGCAAGACATTTTCGTCTTGCGAAGCAAGCCCATGGGGAAATTTGTCCTGCGAAGCGCATCGAAAAACGGAAAACCCTTTTGTCTAGCGGGTTTTTCGTCTTGCGAGGCATTCGTCTTGTGGGGCACCACTGCATTTCCCCCCTTGAATCTGGGCTCTTTCCCTTTTTTAATATCAGCTGTCAATACATGATTTAATCAAGCCCTGCACTCCTTGATTTCCAGGGGGAAAACCTTGTTAGTCTCTTTTGTAGTAAAAACGACAGTGTTTTATGGCATCTTAAAGACCAAGGGTTGTATCCAGTGAAGTAATCCTGTTAGTGCGAGGATTTTTGCTTGTGCAATGGAATTTCACCTCCCCCTGCTATTACCACCTGTACCCCAAAACCTGCTCCAGAGGTTTGGGGCATTCCCCATAAAAGATTTGGGGATGGAGTTCACAGGGTGGGACGATGGATGGGAAGTGCCATTGCACAAGTGGAAGTCCTTGTGCGAATGAGAAGACTTCATCTGATACAACTCTTAACACATTTATTGTGGCTTAAGTTCTGATCATCAGATGCACCAGCTGTCATCCCGAATTGCAGATACATGGTTGACAGGGTGGGGTGGTGGGGTGAAATCAGAAGGAAATCAAATGATGGAACTGTGACTAAGGGTCTATTAAGGCAGAGTCGTAGCTACTGGGGGGGGGGGGGCAGGCAGCTAGCCAGGGTTTCTATCCCGGGTGAAACCTCCAGAAGGGCGCTATTGATGCTCCCAGTTTGTATCTGTGTGTACACCAACAGACATGGGGGGTGCCAAACTGGGTCATTATCCCACATGAAATAAAGCCTAGTTTCACTCTTTGTAGTACATTGTTGCTCAGGGAGTCTGTAATTGTTTGGGTGGGGAGATGCAGCATGTATCCATGCACACATCCACAGTGCTCCCCAGGGTCCTTGCAGTATGCGGACTCTCCATTCCCCATTCTTCCATGCATGCACATGTCATCAACATCATCGTTCCACCTTTATTCCAAGAAGCCCAAGGTAGCTTTCATCATTTCCTCTTCTTTAAAATCTTAACAGCCACCCTATGATGATGACTGCATGAACACAGTCCATTTAAAGCATAGGCACGCATGCACGCACACAAATAATCCTGGGGCTGGAGTTTATGCCTCACAGAGCTACAATTCCCAGCACCATTAATAAACTACAGTTCCGCGTGTGTATATATATATATATATATATATATATATATATGCCATGAGTGAGCTCTGTGACCCAGTGTTCTTTTTTGCTAACACAATGGGCTAGGATCAGCCTGGTTTTGTAACAGATATATATACACCACTGTCCTATGAAGTATTGAATTTCTTCCCTTTATTTGAGTCTATAACAATAATTTGTCTGTCGCATTATAATTTTGCAGCTGAACGTTTGGCAAATTGGTGTCTGTAGTTAATTTTTCCCTCTGTGCACTCAGGAATATATCTATTATAGATAGGAAAGCATGAGTAAAGCAGAAGCTATTAATCACATGCAATACACAAGAATGTTTAAAATCCAGCTTGGTGGCAGCTGGGGTTCACCATCAGCTACTGCACAGCTATATCCATACAATTTTTACATCCCTTAAACATTAACAAGCAGTCAGTTCATAACCAATTGGTATTTACTGAAAAATAAATACCTTATAAAAGTATCTTGTAAAATTGGTGATTAAAACAGACTGAGCTGTGCATGCTTGGGCCCTGCAGATTTTGCACAAAATGTTTGTTTTATGCAAACAGATTATACAAGCTAAAATTGTGCCTCTTGGACAGCTTTGGTCTGTCATGTTTGTAGTCAAATAGCAATAGATTGTCTCTTGATGTTCTGATGGTATCTACATTTTTGAATCATTAGGAACTGTTTATCATTATGGTTGTTTTTCCCCAGAGTGCAGGCGAATCCCTTCCCTGTTTCTCCCACAGTGCCCTTTGAATTTAAGACATACCCTCTTTTCTTCTTTCTGATACGCTCTTTAAATGTTCAGATAGTAAGTAGGGCTTCAAAGTCTTAGTCCTCCTGTTTGTATCCAGCACTGTCATCCCATTTGTGCAGTAGATTTGTACTTGCGGAATAAAAGTATTGCAAGGAGAGGTTCATCCCTGCCTAGTTTTGGCGTGAGTGCCATTTTGTTTTGGTGGGGGTGCCATCTTAGTCGACCTGGGTCCCATTGGTATTGTGTGAACGTTTATTTAATACCCCCCACCCGGTAAGGAAGGGATCGAGATGCCTATTAAAAGGAATCCCAGTCCTGCTGTCCCTTCTAAGAGGGTGATTAGAGGTCCGTCTCAGTCACTGCGTTC